GTACAAACTTTAAGCCTGTTTAATGTATCATTTAGGGATGAACCAGATCACTTTTACTTGTCTTTTAGAAGACATGTTTTCATTGTATATGCTCCAAGTAGAGGCTAAAGATCCAGAAACTATGGCTATGGAGTTTTGGAGTTCCTTCTCATCAGTTTGGTTAATTGCTCGTTTCATTTACTAGCTGGGTTTTAACTTTCCTATGGATCACTTGGCTCTCGAAATTCCATAAGTACTGAAAGTCAGCAAATTTTGGGAAGTGTTCTCTGGAGGAAAGTCCTGGAACTCTTACAACAGGCATAATTTTCATTTGTGCAGGTTTAGTGCTCTCACAGAATAAATAAGCATTAACTATCCCACAACTGCGCCAAAATGCAGTCGGTTTGTAGCCTGCTGTGTGCTGCACTAGAAGCCTGAGCATTTTACCTTGCAGGCTAAATGCCTCTGTGAACAGAAATTGTCATCATTACTCAGGAGATACTTTCCAGATGAAACCTCACTCAAAAATAGCTATGCCTGGATTTAATACCTGCAATACCAAGACAATGGTATTTGCATTTAAACACTGACTTCAGTGTGAGGGTACTCATATGGGAGAAAGGTGTATTTTTAACTAACCCTTCTAGCCACTGGGTGCCACTAGTGACTTGTTGGGTTGAGGGAAGAGCAGCTATCCTGAAACTTTAGGGGAACAGCCCACACATAAATCCGCACAATACATTAGTACATAGGAAGCTGACCTTCAACTTATTCAATTTACTTAAGAAGCATCCACCCTGCATGTCTCTGATTTCCCTCTGTTGTAATTCCCAGTGGCTGCATTTCAGTGCCAGGGTATCATTCGGGGTGCTGGGTTGGAGGCTGTGTAACCAGCTCTTGGAAAGCCTGATGAAGCAAGGAGAGCACTCAAGCTTACACTTACGTTTATGACAACTGAGTGGCGCCTTTGCAATCAGTGAAACTGCTCACGTGCTTACAGACAAGCACATATTTGACTGGATTAGTGCATGAAGTGACTGGAACTGAAGGCATGGTCAGCAAAGAAGCCCAGTGAGCTACTGCTTTTGCTGCTGGTTATCCTCCCCAAATTCATCTTTTGCAATGCAAACACAATTCCAGACCCTCACAAATGATACATATAATGACTGCTATTAATTCTTAGCAGGGGACAGGATCAGACCCCTGGGTTTAATGTTCTGCTTTTCATCTCTGTAATCCCCATCCCATCTCTCATTCTGCTTTTCATTTCAAAATTATTTGGCCTACCTCACCCTTCTCCAGTCTTAGTGTTGTGATGTTCCCTGCCACAATTTCTCCAAAGGCAGGATGGCAAGGCGGTTAATCTGTGACAGTCCATTTGCACAAATAAGCACATACAGGTGGAAATAGGTACATGAGTTTATTCTACACCTAAAAACATACAGGACAAAATAAACCCCTGGAATCTACTTGAACACTATACCTACAGAGAGATCTCCGCTGTTTTATAATCTGATTTAAACCAGAGTAACACAAATTCTGTGTAGGGACAAGTCTTAACGAGCCAGTAATTTGCACGTGTACATGAAACCCCTACAAACCAGGTTGAAATAGAAACTGGGCCCTCAAATAAGAAATCCAGCAGAAGAACAGGTTTCTGGAGGGCAATGAGCTACTGCGTGTCAGCTACCTCAGGGCAACAGCCTGATTGCAAATGTCCTAAGCCAGTGGTACCTGCAGTGAACATACCCGATGTCTGTGCCAGTCCTGCTTCTCACATCTCCAGTGTGAGAGCAGGCACACAAGCACTGATGGCACTGGCTGATGTGCTGTAGATCCACAGGCTGATCTCACAATATCTCACAATAAGAGCGCCCACAGACCCCAGTTCACCTTCGTCTTTCTTTCCTACAGTTCCAGGGCTATCCCAAGCCCACCAGTGGCTCTGCTCGCCCTCCCTGTGGTCGCCCTCCCCTCGCTGCTGCTGCTGCAGCCGCAGGGGCTGGCTGCTCCCACGCTCCCATTTGTATGTCACTCACGCGTCTCTCCCCACTTAGAGCTGTCTTCTGCTTCCTGCTGCCAAGAACCGTCTCTATTTGAGACTCCATTTCAAACCCATGATTACCAGGAGCCTTCCTCTCATCTCATCTCATCTGTCTTCAGCTCTTTCTTACTCTTCACTTCTTCATCTGCATTTTATTTTGGTCTGCGAGCGCGTGCTCTGGGGCAGGGAAGCCCCACGCTCACTGCACTGCAGGAATGATGTGACAGCGTGATCCTCACTGTGCAGAAGTGACCTGGAAAAAAAGGTACTTTGTCATCTGAAGGCAGAAAGGACAGTGTTGTGATGAATTTTTAACTATTACCCCTGATTCCGTGGTTGGGAATACTCCCATGCCTTCTTCCTGCCAGTAAGGCAGCCTTCTGGATCAGGAGTATGGGAGAAGAGGAGCAGAAGTGCCAAACAGCTGCCTCAAGTCTCAGCTGATCTCCTGATCTCCTCTGGGCCACCTTCTAGCACGGGTTGGGGGCCGGGCTGGGAGCAGCTGGGTGTGTCAGGCTGCAGAGAAGCACATTGACGGGAAGCTGTGGGTGCAGACAGGCTGCACAACAGAGTGAAAAGGTTCCAACCAGAGTTTCATTTTCCAGAAGCTGTACTGGGTAAATAGGGCCAGGACACAGACAGATAATGTGCATTGCTAAGGTCAAGTTCATGGACTGTGTTCAACTGCTCATACTTGCTAGGACTCCGTTTTTAATTAATAAAGATTTTTCTCCTTCAGACATTTTAAAAATTACTCAAGACGGTTCCTTCGAGCTGCAGGTTTCACACAAAGAAGGGTTGCAAGAAATCACCATTTAATTAAATAAACATCTCTTTGAACGATGACCCTTCTCCAAAGCTGGAACCTCCTTGCCATCATTAGAGCCCCACATAAACTGTAGCAGTTAGCAGCCTGCTTCAGGATTACAGTGTTCGTAGCAAGAGAAATTGCTCCTGAGATCATTTAACCTCCCTGGGGAGATGACAGGAAGGAATTAATCTTCCGCTGCTAATCCGCCCTGTGCTGCTGGATCAAAAATTGGCATCGAAGGGGGTGCCTGCACAGGGGAGCCTGCGGTGGCATTTACCATCCGCGAGTGCTCCCTCCCACCTCCTCCTCCAGCGCAGCTCAGGAAACAGGGGGCAGCTATTTCAGGAAGTCTACGTAACATACTATTAAACCATTTGTGCTGGCTGAGAAGGAGATTTGGTTTCTGGCGTTCCCCTCCAGTCCTAGCTGTGTTGGCAAGGTGAACGCTACTTTCACTTTAGTCCCAGGAATCAGTCTGCTCGTTGGTTTTGTCGCTACTTGCCATCTATTTTATTTTATATCAATTTGGTTTATATTATTATTATTGTTATTATATTTGTTAGTGATTTATATGGATTATTCATCGGTGCCCAGGTACACCAGGTTTTTATCCCCCAGAGAGCTTTCAGGAAATAAATTTTGCTGACGTGACCCTCTGCCCATGAGAGCCTTTGTGTCGAAAGCAGTTCTGCATGGAATGGAAACCTCCATTTTCACTTGTTTTTTCTTTTCCTGGTGAGTAAAATGGACCCAAGAAACAATTCAATATGTTTGTGAGCAATCTGAGAGCAGAGAAGGGGTTCAGATTTACAGACTTGAGGTGGGGCCAATCCTGGAACAGGGACAATTCCTTGGGATACAGCACCCAGCCACACAGCAAGAATAGCAAGTAGTGAACACCCTTAGCAACTGACTGGTGGAAAAAAAAATTAATTTGCTAAAGAGCGTCGGCACTAAGTCGCCTTGAAGAGTTGTAAATCACAAGGCTGTACAAAGGGAAACCTGCTCCTGCATAGTCTGTGAGCAGAGACAGACTATTACTATGGATTCAACTATTCCTAACTAATAAGAACTTAATAGGAGTTCAGAAAATGCTAGGCTCATCCAAATCAAAGACCAAGCTCCTGCTGATGTTGGCAGAGGCAGGATGGGACCCAATGAGCAGATTTTTCATAGTAGAGGACAGCAGCTTGTTCCCTTCTCCACAGCATTCAGGTTTTCAGCCCAGGACCAGCTGCCCCTGCCAGACCTTGTGCTCCCACAGCTCTCACCTCAGCAGGCAGCAGGACCAAGGGGATCCAGCAGGATGCCCAGCTCAGGCCCTGGCACAGAAGGTCCTGTGGATAGGAAAGCCAAGCCCAGAGCAAGACAAAGCTGCAGTGAGGGCTCTCAAGAAGGCCCTCACCAGCTGGGTGGTGTGGGAGCAAAGTCAGACCCTCCTATTGCTAAAACCAACCCTGACACAGGATCTTTTCTCCCCTGACTGATCCAAACACTTGCAAAAGACAGGTTTTCTTTTCTCTAGCAGCACACCACCAAATGGGATTTGCAACAAGGAGGTGTGAGGGATAACAGCCCATCCCTCATACCCAACAGAGCCTGCAGGCTTCTTTTGCTGCTTTTAAGTTTCCTGTGCATTAATCCCCACAATAACACACGATTACCAGAAAAACCTTAGGAAATAGGGGGCAGAGGGATATGGACACTTTTCAGAGAGAAAGGTATAAAAGGAAGCAAAAAACAATCACAGTGGAAAAACATAGGTCGTTTGCTCTTCCATTTTTCTGTCAAATGGTGATTAGAAGAGAAAATGTTCTTTCTGTACCAGTCAGGAAAGGAAGAAACATGTTCCACTTCGCTCTCTCAAAAAAAAAAAATTCAGTGAAATAAGAGTGATGCCATTTCTCTAACTCAGAGAAGCAAAGCAGTCTCCAGGAGTCTGTGAAGGCTTGTGAAGGTGCCCTTGCAGTTGTGCTACACACTGAAAAAAGCTGGTTTTTCAAACATGTACCATGCACAGATGACTCCAGTAAGCTGCTTGTCAGTTCTTGGGTATCCCCAGCTACCCAAACCTGCCTCCAGTGTCTCTCACCTGCAGTTTTGGAAAGTTTTCTGAAGGTTTGGAGAGTTTCTCTGAAGCTGCTCCCCCATCTCTCTGAAGATCACAGAATGACTGGGTTGGAAGAGACCTTTAAGATCACTAAGTCCAACCCAAGCCCTAACACCTCACTAAACCATGTGGCACCAAGTGCCACATCCAGTCTTTTTTTAAACACATCTGGGGATGGTGATTCCACCACCTCCCTGGGCAGACCATTCCAGTACTTTATCACTCTGTCTGTAAAAAACCTTTTCCTAATATCCAGCCAATATCTCCCTTGGCACAGCTGAAGGTGTTCTCTCATTCTGCCAGTTGCTGCCTGGAGAAAGAGACCAACCCCACCTGACTACAACCACCTTCCATGGAGTTGTAGAGTGACAAGGTCACCTCTGAGTCTCCTTTTCTCCAGGCTAAACAACCCCAGCTACCTCAGTCATTCCTCACAGGGTTTGTGTTCCAAGCTCCTCACCAGCCCTGTTGCCTCCTCTGGACGTGCTCAAGTGTCTCAAAGTCCTCCCTAAACTGAGAGGCCCAGAACTGGACACAGCATTCAAGGTGTGGCCTCACCAGTGCCAGGTACAGGGGAAGAATGACCTCCCTGCTCCTGCTGGCCACACTGACATAGGCCAGGGGCTGTTGGCCTTCTTGGCCACCAGGGCACACTGCTGGCTCATCTTCAGTCATCTGTTGACCAGTACTCCCATGTCCCTTTCTGCCTGGGCACTGTCCAGCCACACCATCCCCAGCCTGTAATATTGCAGGGGGTTATTGTGGCCAAAATGCAACACTCTACTTGGACTTGCTAAACTTCATCATTGGACTCTGCCCATCCATCCAACTGCTCCAGGTCTCTCTGCAGAGCCCTCCTACCTTCTAACAGATCAACACATGCTCCCAGCTTAGTGTCATCTGCAAATTTACTAATGAAAGATTCAATACCCTCATCCACGACATCAATAAAAATATTGAACAGAACTGACTCAGCACAGACCACTGGGATGGCATTAAGCCTCAGCAGTGCTTGTCCTGGTATGTCTTGCTCTGCTTGTACCCTCCAGATGTTGGTACTGAAGGAAACCAAGGTTCCCTCTGAATAAATCTTTTGACTTCTCTGCTCCAGAACAGGAAGCTACAGATAGGAACTGGGATACACAGAAATGCACTTGTGGAGCACACAAATTTTGATGTTCTGTATTTCTGATCTGGGATCATGGGTTCTTGTATTCTAGAACAAATGATAGCTCAGATGACACAAACACAGGTTTCAGCTCACCTGACAAGTATATTTCTAGTTCATCTCTTTCCCTCAGCGTTTCTGCATTGTGATGCCTCTTTTTTTGTACAATGAGCATTTTCGTTTAAGCTAAAAATAATGTTTGGATGTGTTTAGGATAAACCTATTCTGCATTTTGTTTCAAGGAGAGCAGATTTACCTATGCCAAGGCAAGTCTGCTAATTCATGAGCTGGGGTGATCATTCTACAAAACTGGAGCATGTCACTGAATTCGTGGCATTAGGCACAGACTGGAGCTGCCTGGTCAATCAATGTCCAGCAACCAATGGGGCAGAACTCACAAATGGCCATGCCACCCCAGTGGGCTCTGGCTCCACAGTTCAGCAAGTCCTGGTGCCCAGCCATGGCCTGTATTAGTTTTGTGGGTGGTGATGACATGCACCAAGCACAATATGGTCTCATCTAATTCCATGTCACACAAGCAGTCACTCATGCTAGTGGGTGTAAAAGTCCTTTATTCGACCTGATCCTTTGACAGTCAATTTGCATTCCCTGTCTAACACAACATGGTTAAAAATAAATATAAATATATTTATATTTTGATATTTTGATATTTATTTTTATATAAATATAAAACATAAGCAGCTGCAGCAGAATATATATTTCATTTTTACTTTAAAAACTACTTACAGTGATAGATGACAGCACAGTACAATCCAGAAACCAGCTGCCTATATTATGCATTATATCAATATTTATTTTAATTCTAAAGAACCATAGTCTGGGGACTTTTACTAAAATAGACACTGCAAATGGTATCCTGGTGGATTATTCTTCATTCCAAAGTAACTTTACTTGGACACCTCTGAATTCTGTTTGTCACTTGTTCTTCTCTCAGTTTTTCAGCAAGCTGAAAAAAGAAATGATAGAATAAAAATAGAGCTAACTGTGTAACTGAGGTGAGAATAATCTTCCCTGGCAATAGAGCGCAATTGGTCTCCAATTGTAATTACTGCCTTTCTCATGCTCTAACAATAGATCTGAAATGGTGTTTTGGGGATACAGGGCTTTCCTTCACAGAGCCATTGCTGTGTGATGCCCTGTGTTGAGCGGCTGGGCTCCTTCCCTGCCCCCCTTAAACCTTTCCCAGCGCGAGTGACAAACTGCCTAAGCAAATACCACACACGTGCAGCACTTTGTGATATGCAGAAGGAATTACCTCAGCCCAGAGGCTGTGCCAGCACTGCCCATGGTGCAAACTGTGCTGGGAGCAAAGAAAGACAGTGCTGGGCAGGGGGAGCAGCCAGAGTCCCCTGTGCTCAGGAGCTTGTGCTGCCTCTGCAGTGACCCAGAGTAGCAGTTCCTTGAGGCCACTTCTTTTACCACAGGCATGGACTCGACATTCAGAAGCCTCAAAGACCATAAATAAGGACATTTTGCTGTATCACCAATCTACAAGATTTTTCTGCTGCTCTTCCCTTGCAGAGGCAGAGGTGAGGTAACATAGAAAACGCAATTCAGGAGTTATCAAAAAGGAACACGGACAATTTTCGCTCCTTGAAAATGTGTTTATGTTTTTGTGTCATTTTTGATGCATAATTGCTCTTTTTTGTGGTCAGCATGACTAAAATGTAGCATTCATGTCTATTAGAAATTGGAAACAGGGAGCTATTTCTTTGGTGCAGCCCTGTTTATTTGCAAGCAATTGGTACATAGAATGCAGGAGGAATCAAACAAGAGGAAACAATTTCTTTTCCTCCAGTTTCAACTTTGTTTCTGGAAGCATTTTAACCCCAGAACTCTTTCTCTGAGCATTTTCTCAGTCCTGCTACAAGTCATGCTATGATTACTGCTTGCTTGCTGACTTTCCTGAAGCTGTCCATGTGGTTTCTCCTACTTATCATAGATACAAGCATCCTCTTCTACTCATTTTCATAGCTAGCTATTTCAGTTTAATAATTCTCTTAAGTGAAAGATGGTAGTTGCACACTTCATTTCCCATATAACTTTATTAGCCAGGTTAATGATGATATTTAAAAACCCAGCACTTTGTTGAGGATATTCAAATCAATGATCATTCCTTTGTTATCGCTGTTACTGACCCAGAATCAGAGAATCATAAAATCACAGAACCACAGAATGGGTCAGGTTGGAAGGGATCATCATGGGTCATCTGGTCCAACCTCCCTGCTCAAGCAGGACCATCCCAGAGCACACATGGCACAGGATTGTGTACAGATGGGTCTGGGATATCTCCAGTGAGGGAGACTCCACATCTTTCTCTGGACAATCAGTCCCAGGGCTTGGTCACTGCACAGGAAAGAAATTCTTCCTCATGTTCAGGTGGACCTTCCTGGCCATCAGTTCCTGCCTGTTCCTGCTGTCCCATTGCTGGGAGCAGGGAGCAGAGCCTGGTCCATGCTCTGGCCCCTCCCTGCAGACACTGACAGACAGGGATGGGGGCCCCTCTCAGCCCTCTCTTCTCCAGCCTGAACAGCCCCAGCTCCCTCAGCCTTTCCTCACTGAGATGCTCCAGTCCCTCCATCATCTTTGTCACCCTCCACTGGACCCGCTCCAGCAGCTCAGTGTCTCTCCTGTCCTGAGGAGCCCAGAACTGGACACAGCACTCCAGGTGATCCTCACAGGGCTGAGCAGAGGGGCAGGATCACCTCCCTGACCTGCTGCCAGTGCTCCTTGTAATGGACCCAAATCCTTCAGCCGAAATCCTTTTGGGACACGGTTTCAGAGAGAAGCAGCCACTCCCAATTGCTTTACACAGTCTGTGCTCCCCTCTCGTCTGCAGGATGACTCCTATGCACAGTACAGAGCCAGCATCCTGCTCCTTGCTGAGGTCTGCACCTTTACACTGCCTCTCCATGGGGAGCTAGGCAGGACCAGGATGTTATCTCCTTCCCCAGCACCAGAGGAGGCAGGAGACGAGGACTGCATTTCCAGGAGATGCCAAGTGCCTCTGTTGTAGGGTCTGACTCTGAGGCAGATGCCTGTGGTGGGACACAGTTTTGTCATGGGCAGCTTGCAGCAGGCCCAGAGCAAGCTCAGCCCTGGTACAAAAGCTTTCGTTGTCTTCAGATTGCTGGCTTCAGTGATGAGCATTTCTAAAACTCTTGAGTTGAAAAGTTGTCTAATCTCCCAGAAAATCTAAGAAAATCAATCCCACCTCAGAAACAAGTTTACTAAAATGCTATGATTCTTCTATTAGTGACATTAAACCACAGTCAAATTTTACTGGGAGGTGCTCAGAGGTGACAAGGCTTTTTCTGCCCTTGCATTATTTAAAGGTTAAAAGTAGAAGGGTACATCACTTAAGATACAGGACAATATATATATGTATGTAAAGATAATGATCCTTCAAATAGTGAACCCTGAAAAGCGCTGCGTGGGTGTAGCCTAAGGAATGACATAAACATCAACCAATTATTTTTACATTTTCTCTTTCTTGGTGTAAGCTTCAGCAGCTGGGTCCCATATGAATATGTCATGACAGATGACAGTGATATGAGCAGATGAACCCCAAGGCAACCCACTATCCTGTCAAGGAGAGGGCAGAGCTGGGTCCCCTAAATATGCATAGTCACTGACAGCAATTTACTGTTGTGGTCAGGTGCCTGGAGTCTGTATTCTTTCCCAAGAAGTAGGTTTTAAAATATTTTTAGGCATGAATACCATTAAAGTTTGTCTTCAGTAAAAATCACTGACAAAGGAGAGCCCAATCTTCCACAATCTGGTAAAATTCTGCTTTTTTTAATCTGGCATTTAAAATGATGCTGAACTAAGCCCTGCCAGCTGCCTTACCTAGCTTACCTAGCAACATTAAGCTGAAAAGATAGAAAAAGAGGTTACTGGGATGATTTGTAATAAATGTTTACATTTTATAATAGGCTTACACCTGTGTTTTGTCTGGCTGTGTCCATATGGTTCAACACAG